TTACAGAAAATGACATATTACGGCCCCAATATGCCAAGCTGGTTTGCTTGTTGGTGCTCCGGCAATTTGCACTGAAGCATCGGCACATAACACCCCCAAAAAAATCGTTCACACAGCTTCAATTCGGATGTAGACTGTATATATGCATGCACACAACCATGCGAAAACATGGTACAGTATATCTTGTACGTGTACAATGTACAAGTATATAGATAAATCCGATATCTGTGAAAAGTATACGTACATCTTATTCATGCACACATCAGGCTGGCTTTCGTCTACCACAACGATAAGCACGAGGCGTGCATTTAATCTACGAGCAGAGGAGCTGGGTGGATGAAGAAGCAGGCATCCACAGAACGTGGTGGGCGGGGAGAGGGATGTGGCAAAGGCCCCTCTCCAGAACTATCGTCCTATGCAATGTAATGACCACAAAGACGAACACATACACACCCAAGGCTTAAAAATCCGCCAGCCTGGGCACATCTGCCCGCAGCCAGTGGCTTGAGCCGATTCCAGCGAAACAACCTGGACCATGCCTATCTGGATAAGGATAAGACCGCGCTCAGGATTATTGCAGACTTGGCTGCTGCCGGGCTTGGCCTGATGCAGATAAAGCCGTCTTGTCCAAGGGAGCATGTCGGGATCAGTAAAACTAGCTGTAAGGAAAGCAGTGACAAAAGAGAATCTGCTGCACGTGGCCGGCTTATGCGCAGGAACCACATGCTGTAAAATGGAAGGTCGCTAGCGTCGGCTGGTCCAGGCTTAATGCATGACCAGCATTGGAGAAGCATCAATTCGTCAAACAGGAACTATTGCACTACGTGCACGGTATGTCGGATGTCTGCTGTAAACTGCGGAAGATGCTTCGCAAATCTTCACAGTGTTAGTTCTTGCATCTTTGCACTGTACAAATTCGAGAAAAAACGCATCATCAGTGCGCTCAGCAGGAACCTGTTGTGACACAGCCGGCCGGAAATTGTGTTGTTGCAGCTCTCTTCTGTGCAGAAAATGTATGCCGTACCTGGCAGTCACTGGTGACTACCGTCATGCTAGATTGCCACAACTTGGCGCATGCCTCGCGAGGCTTACGGGCATGCAGTTTTAGCAGACTGAGAGGTTAGAATCAACAACACGATTCCAGCGCAGCCTCTCGCGTCCAGATTCGAAGCAGCTGAGTTCCAAAAGGATAATCCGCATTGCTTTCGCTTCTCAAAGTGCGGCGCTCTCTGGACGAAGGCTCTATCATTGGCACTTCAAAGACGGAAACACCAACCATGTCTGAGCAGGCATCGTCAGGAGCGTGCGGCAAGGTATCGCCTGCCGACAGTGTGGAAGATGGGCTTCACGCAAGGGCGAGGGGGTGGAGCAGACCAGGAAGTCCGCATTACCACCTCTATGCCCATCATTATCTTGCTCGCTGTTCCTGCCACCAGACAGCGCCAAGCAGCCCTGCCTGGCTTGTCGGCTGTTCGGCGGCAGTTTCCACGGCTCTGGGCAGCTTCGCATCCAAAGTAGCTGATACCTTGAAGCACGGGCAAACATAACCATATCAGGCCACATCAATCGCACGGAATGCCTACCGGGGGTCTACCGGCCCGCCACTCGACGGCGCTGGGTTCCGGACGGAAGCTGTGGAAAGTGTGTCCTTCGAAACAACTGCACGACCCGATGCCTTGCAGCAAACCTTGTGTTCTGAGAAAACACGCGTTCAAAGCTTCGCTGAATGTCGGAGTTGTGCCTATCAGGGTGATCCTGCTTGGCAACGTGCCAGTAGCCAGAGTTGTTCGAGACTGATTGTACAAGGGCATATGAGCCAGCTTCGATAAAAAGGATCTTTCGAGGTAAGTCGGGATTCAGGTTCCCGTTAGGTCCTCGCATGCGCTCGCCTCTCGCGTGTCCTTGTCCGACATCGACCTGAGACAAGTCGCATGAGCAAGAATGCCGGCGACTTAATTTTGTGATGATGTTACATTCAGTCAACAGCATGCCTTGATGTTGTTTCTCCAGTATGAGTTGAGGGTGTCGACGGCGCACGCTTGTGCTTTGCCACGACCGCCTGGACTGTCACGATCAGTCAATGAAAATGTGGTCATGTCCAGGAAGTGCTGCTTCCACGGCGAGCAGCGGTAGCACTTCAATTGCAATATTGCAGTTCACTAGTTACCAGTTCGCTGCGATCCCAAAGCTCGAGCTTGTCCTCCTTCGGCGAGTCGAAGCGCATGTTGAAAACTGCCTGGCATGACGCAGACCCCCATGAATACATAAATGACCAAGACTTAGTAAAGAAATAACACTACACAAATTAACGATCAAATATATACGTGAACCCAAAGGCAGATTAACACATGAATAAATACATCTATAAATGAATATAGCCTATATAAATATATGCACATACATAAACACATACACACGCACACAAGCATAAATACATATACATATATGTATATATGCATATATATATATATACATATATACATGTGTCTGTATGTATGAACGAATACGCAAATAACACCTGATGATACAAATACTTTTGCATAAACATACATTACTACATATACACACATGCAGGTCCAGGCAGACGGGTAATTGCATTCATAAGTAGATAGACAGGCAGACAAGCAGATACATAGATAAATAGATAGACAGTCTCACTCGGACACAGACAAAGACAGTAAAGAGACCCAGACGGCGGCGCTTCGGCTCTTCAACAAGCACATCCCTGAGCGTGCCTGGTTGCGCGTCGGAGGTCTGGGTGGTAGCAGCGGTGCAGTCCGGGGATCGTAGGGATCACCTCAGCCAGGACGTGCTGCCTCTTGGTGCTGCTCCAAAAAGTTTTCCACTCAGTCCAGCTGCTGTCGGGGTCGTATTCCACCCACACTCCGTTCATCTCGACCACTCCAAGCGCCTCTCCAGAATTAGGAGAGGCAAGTGAAAGTTAAGCTGAAACTGAGATTGAGGACACGGACGGGTTGAACTCCCTGTTATGGCTGGGTGCCAAACATGACAGCGCGAATACGCGTCAGAGTCTCGGACTGAATCCGATCCCTCGAAAGGCTGAGCAATGACTGCCCCAGCCCGGTCGGTCCACTCATGATTCACTTATCCAACACGAGCAACAACATTGCTTGCCTTCCGTGAGCCTCCACTCCTGACCGGAGACCGAGGCCATTTCTTTCGCTTGGCCCCCTTTCCGTCATGTCAAGGATATGAAGGACAACGTGTAAAGTGTGGGCAGCGCTGGGCGCGTGTTGGTACATCATGGGAAGTGCTTTGCACAGTACATGTTGCCATGCACGCAGCAGAACATGCAACAACTCAAACTGGCTATACAGCTGGGACGGCCTCACATTTGAGGCACCTGCACCTGTGTGATATGGTAAAAACCAATACCTTCTGGCAAGCGGCGGGCAGCAGGGATCGCAAGTCTGAGCCTGAAAGAAATCCAAAGCTTGATTTGTAGCTGGCTTTGCCACGATGCGAGTTTCATGAAGACTTCGCAGTGGACGGCATGTCAAAAAATCCTAGCTTGTGGCACCACTGATTCAAAGTCGACACAGCTGAGGCCTGAACAGATTTTGTAGGCCCCAGACAGGCACGGGGCCTGATAGCAGCTAGCACTCAGAGCACATTGCGGGCTGCGGGCTGCAAAGGTCCTGGCCTCGCTCAGCAGGCTGCACAAGTTGCTCGGGGACATGGCCATCGCGTATGCGGCCAAAACTGGGCACTCAGGGATTGCTTGGCCCTGGGAAAAGAGATCGCAGCCCATGCCACGAGGGTGAGCAGGCATTACTGTAGACGCTGAAAAACATCTGCTATATGGCGCTCATGAGGCAATGCACCACCAGCTGCTTGAAACACGCGGACATCGTGGGTGCAGCACATCTGTTCTATGCTTTGCATCCGCCTCGGCATTCTCCGATGTAGGAAACCTTTTCACCAGGCAAAATGACACAGAACTTAACTTGCAGAGGTCCGACCGAACATGACATGTGCCAGCCGAACCTTAAAGGTCGTGGTCTCGCATGATTTGCATTCTGCAAAATTCAGCGATACCACGACAGTGACAGACGCGGACAAGTCAGGGAGCCCGGGCTGTGGACTTTTGGCCCTATAGCAGCATAGCAGTGCATGGGGAGAGCCGCTGTTAGTGTGCTTGTGTGCTTTTGGCCTTTGCTCAGGTATCGGCCACCCAGTCTGCCCGAACAAGCCTCTTCCAATTTCCCCCTAAATCTGCAATCCTCGCCAAAGGGACTTTAACTGGAGTGTCTTCGAGTTTGTGGACAGGGCATAGCGATGGTGCCACACAACTTACATAACATGCCACTGTGATCGTCTTGTTGCACATCTCTTCAGATTGGGCTTGCGCTCTTGCACGAATTCGAATTCGGTGGTTCGCCGTCTGCAATCCAAGCGGCTGGAGCGGCCGGCCCGGTGCTCACAACTCCGAATGCAGACCTAGAGCACTTTGAAGTATCCCGGAAGCTTTGCCTGCACACGGTCTGACGACACGGGAAATTGAAGCTCTTCCCAAGGACCGCGTATGCGGAAGCTAGGAGCAATTCCATGCCATGGCTGCTCGTTGTTGACGTTTGGAATTATGATCTTGCACTGATCTTGCCCTCTGCTGGCGCAACTCTGTCAAGCATCTGATGATCACTGCAACACTCGGAGACGGCATATGTGAGGCCGCCTTTTGATAAGGCACGCTCCAACTGCGGTCATTCAGCTGCTGAGCTCTGGTAGGGTCTATGGGTGGCACCTGGCATATCCATGGGCCGTAATACCATACCATATGCAATATACCGTGCGGCACTAAATTCCAGCAAGTTACAGCCGGCGCGGTTTCCTCCTTTGGGCTACGCTCAGCCGGCTCTACCGCGAGCAATTCAAAGGGCCTTCAGGCCCAGAAAAGCGCCCCTCTGTTTCATGCGCTGTGTTCAGCAGCAGCGGCACAGAGTGACGAGCCGCAGCACATTGTCCAGCACAACGTGCAGCTACGCCGGAGGAAGCACCTGTCAGCATATACCACAAGACCCGATGCTCTCGGTAATTATGACGTTATGATGAGGCCAACAGGCGCGGAAAACGGCTTCGGCCTGGACCGTGTCCACCACTACACTCAACGGCGAGAGCGGCGGGGAGAGCGCCGGCGCCTGGCGGCGTGCCTCGCGAGCATCGCCCTCTCGGTCGCCCTGCAATGCCTTGCCATCGGCAGCGGCCTTGCGCTTGGCTTGGCGGCTCTTCCTGGGAGCCTCGGGAGAGCGCAGACTTGCGGGCAAGTTGCGGATGCACGAACACTTCGACGTCTACGGCCGCTTGCCTCTTCGTCACCATGTTCCCCACGCAGGATGGGAACTGCTCGCCACACTTTGCGCCGGGCTGAGCGAGGGGAGTGCACCTGGACTTCTGAACCTATAGAGAGATGCAAAGCAGGCCTTGTTCCGAAGTCGAGTCCTCCGAGCTCCAGACCTGTTTGCAACTCTCTGGTTGCACCCTAAGTCAGCCAGGTATCGGAGCTCATTCTACTGAGATTCAGCTCAATCCCAGAATGCATGCAGGCATGCTTGCGCCGTGCAGATGAAGAGTGCAGCCTGGAAGCTCCGACTGCGATCCCTTGCCGGAACACAGGTGCAGCTGCGCAGTTTCCTTATGTTTTGGCAACGACTGCAAACAACGTTATTGGCCGTCGACTCGTTGCGGGCAAAGGCGCTGGCAACTGCTCATTGAAGGTGCTCGCAGCATTTTGCGCAGTGGCTTTCGACTGTGTCCAGATGTCATTGGTGTCTGCTGGCGAAACGCCCACGAAAGCCACCTGGTTTGAAGTCAAGCGTGTCGCTTCATGGCCGTACAAGCTTAAGAGCACTCGCAACGCCCCGAGCATCCCCGAGTCCCCGAGCTGCAGCCCCGAGGCTGAACTTTGTCCGCCATGCCGACGGCACGGTGGGGTCTTCGTGGATTTGCTGCTCCGTCGCCACCCTTCGTGCAGTGTTTTTTCCGGTCAGCCCTGGTCCAAACATCAACAATCGATGCGGCAAGCCATCCAGGATGAGCCCACGAACAATTTACCGGACGGTGGCCTGGAGCTCTCTGTGGTGCATACATCGCCAACCAGTCTTGATCCGTTGGCCGCCACAGCTTAAACTCATCAAGAATTAGCCGCAATACAGCTTGCACTTCGACAACAGCCCCCCTTCTACTCATCTACTCATCAACAACATTGCCAAGCAACGCACACAGCAACATAAGGGTGGGAATATGAGCTAGAACTGAGGTTCCACGGCCGAGGGAGCCGCCAAAAGTGCAAGTGTGCGACTGAGGCGCAAAGAATAAGAGCAACGCTTGCCAGAATCGAAGCACTTGCGCTGCCAATCGTTACGGCCTCTGGCACGAGACCTCATCTGGGGGCAAGGCGACATTAGCCGAAGCAAACCACCCGAAAGCACAACAGAGCAACGCCACAACACGACCAAGAATTCCAACCAACGCTACAGTGCCGAGGACAAGCAGGAGATGAACATCATCCTAAAGGGAGATGTCGGTCAATCATGGTGTGGAGAGGTTGCCAGAATGGTTGAGCAACATCTTGCTGCTTCTCACCCGCTGCTTGGTCGAAAACATTTCGCAAAAGGCGAGAAGCATCGGGGCCCTGACAGCGAGGCTGAAAAACATGCAAAACCGACAGGAAGAGCTCCACACACCCTTGAGTGCTGCACTCGTAGCAGAAATGGTTTCGGCCTCAAACGCCTACCGTGAACCTTCCAGCCAGCAATTATCCCAACAAAGCTCTGAATGTCTGTCTTTCTGCTAAAATATTTCCGCCCCTCTGCACGACCTCAATCACAAACCAAAATTGGAGCAGCCGGGGCACTGGGATACTTCGATTCTGCGCTGCTGGACAATTCTCCCACGAGAGTTGTCTGCAGAAGCTCCAGTATCGGCTCGCCCATTACCGACACCACGACGGCCACTTCTGCCAGTTCCGGCTGTGACAGAAAGGCCTTTCTTGTGGTGCAAGCTCTTTCCGTCGGTCGCGAAAGCTTTGGCAGTGGGGCCTCTTTGAGCTTCGTCGCCATGTCTGTCTTCGTCGCGCTGCTGAGAGCAGCTCGCACCTGCAACTGGAGATGTGCGAAATTGAAAGATTGGCCTCCAAGCCTAGCTTGCTCATGGAGGTGAAGCTAGCAAGTGGCTAAACACCGAGCAACTCACTTTGCACCTGCTGTCTGTGCAAGCTCGATTTGGTGCTTTTGTGCTCAGGGTGAGAGATGTACAAACCTCACTAAAGATACTAAAGATGTATAACTGTTGGCTCAGGTTGATTGCAGCTTCTCAAGGCTGACGGACGTCATTCTTGTCGGCACCGGAGAAAACATGTGGGCACAACTTGGCCGGCGGTGCTTTGGTGAAGGTTTTCAAGACCAGAAAGCAAAGAGCTTGACGCTGCGTATGTCCATGACAAACTTTCTCGTCGAGCACGAAAACAGGCACATGCCCCGAAGATGTAGTTCCCCCCAGCTGTTGGTCGTTGCGGCAATGCTTACACATACTCGTAGGCAGTGCCATTTTCCAAAACACTGTTGAACAACCTGACCCGGTCACGGTTGACGTCACGGCTTGAAGTTTCAACACGAGTTGAGGTTGAGGTTAAAAGGCTCCCTTGGTTTTCTGAAGAAATCTACGCATGTCTTCAGGGCGCCAGTTCTCGCAATATCTGCTGCACAAATTTCTTCCGGAGCGGCCGTGCGGACCCGGCAAACAGCTGTCTGTGGATTCTGACCGAGCAACAGCTGACTTGCTTTTGCGACCACATAGCTGCAGCCTTGTGTCCACTCTCTTAGAAAGTAGTGCAACAATGATGAGTACAATTCGGACGACATGGATCCATCAGGTCTTGGAATTGCGAGGGTACTGTAGCGGAGTGGATGTTGAGCACCGCAAGCCCCAGGACCGCATGAGAACGAGTAGCTCGGTTGCCTTCGGCGCCGAGCAACTGGCTTCTCCGCACAAGAGACAAGTATGCCGCGCACATCCGTTCCGCAGTCGGCGTACGCAGCTGCAGAGTATGTGCAGGAGCCCACACGTGTTGCAGTACGCTAGCGCCTTTTCCGCCATCTTTTCGGAGCTGTCGTCCAGCGCTGCAGATTTCGGTATGCGGATCTCGTAACCTGTTGGCTGCACTGGTCCGATCCGATGCACTACACGGTTTTCACCGGCAGGTGAGCACAGAACTTAGCCCGCTGCCGGTGACAACCACAGACCTGTTGACGAGTTCTTGCTGAAGTTGACGTCCACAATCAGCAAACCTGAACTGATTGAGAAGCCTGAAACTAATAATTAGTTTAAGAAGCTATAGCTAATTAACTATTAATCAACTAGCTTGAGGGAGCTACTACTCGGTTGTTGTGATGCCCCTGACCTGGCGCAAGCTCAAATCTCTCGTACTTGCTTGTTTGCAAGCCTGAGCGA